TTCGCTCCATAAAGAAGAATAGATGGCCCGACGGCCAGGCGGAATAAGCAACAAGAAACTCTGCCTGGAAAAAACTAAGTAAGAGCCAATCCCTCAACAAATTTGAAGGAAAAAATGGAGACGGATTGGGCATACGTTGAGGAGGCCGTCGAATGAAATCGCTCGAGTGGAATTCCAATAGGACGCGACAAGTGTATCGCCGATGCGAGGGTGACATGGAAGAGATCGTGTGAAGAGTAGGTGAGAGTTTATGGTCAACCGTAAACCCGGCTGAAGAGGACGGAAGAAAATAGAAGAAAGTGGAGATGTGTCGTTGAAGCCCTATGTTCCACTCGGAACTTAAGTGAATAATAATTATATAACTGTCATCAACAATTATTCTTTAACTAATCTGGATATGTAACTGTAGAACCTAGTGAAATAGTTAACGGAAAGAATATTCTCTTCTCAGTCTTTACATCCTCTACATGCATAAATGAGGATATTTGCTTTATGAAAAAAAATCAAAATACATTTATGAATTAACTAGTGTGTGACTTCATTGTTCAATAATCAAAGCTTTATTATTTTTTTTTCCAAGAAACTAAGTACGCTAGAGAAGATTTGTTCAACGATTGATAAACTGTATTATTACAACTAAGTTATGTGATGCGTAAGACAAATCTAGTAAATAACTGCTTGTGTTATGCAGAAATGTAAAAAGATATAATTCACCCTATCTATCTCAGGTGATCTTCAACAGAAAACTCAAGGATAACCTTGAAGTGAATACAGCGGTTAGACAAAGCTGCCCTTACTGTCACTGATGATATTCCCTTTTGTGGTGGAGACTCTGAGTAGGAAGCATAAGACAGGAATACGTTAGAGAGATAGCAAGACTCTGGAAGATGTGAACTTCACGCATGATTTATGTCTAATGTTAACTAAACTTGAAGACTTACAGGTGAAACTAATAAACTGGCAATAGAAGAAGCAGCCAGCGAAGTGGGAATTTCAAGTGAACATAGAGAAGACGGATGAAGATAACCAACAACAGCAAACGCCAGTCAATATCAATAGGATAAATTTGAAAGAAGTCACTTCCTTCATTTACCTAGGTGGTATCCTTTCAACTGCAGGCAGCAAGGATAGCGTTGTCGAAACCAGAATTGGAGAGGCAAAGCAGACTTTCATCACTCTGAAACCAATGTGGAAAACCACTCCACTAAGCACCAACCACAACATTCAGAATTTTAAGACTATGATTAATTCAATTAGTTCTTCTCTATGGGTCAGAAAATTGACTCACACGTCATGGAAAGCACTTCCAACAGCTTGTAGACTTTTAACAACAGATGCCTTTGCTCTATCTATACCGAAGAATTGGTAAAATGAAACTCTGGTAACGAACCACCCAAGAACCTATTGCTCAACAAGTATTCCGGAGAATAAAGAGATCGATCGAACACACTCTGAGGAGACCGCTGAGAGACAACTAGCACCTGACCATTGCTCGAGTGGAACCCACATGGGAAGCAGTAGGTTGGGTGTGATTCCGAGTGTGACATTGATGAAATCGCGGGAGAAGGGGATGAGAGCTTATGGGTAGTTGTGAGACTAGATGGTGATGACTGCAGAGAACAGAACAGAGTGAAGACTTGCTGTTGAAGCCCTATATTCTAAAAGGAACTGAAGGGGACAATTATAATAACATAATAATAATTCTTTTTTATCCTTCCCGTTCCCCAGTGGAACATAGGGCTTCAAGCTAGTGGCTTGAAGTTTCTGCAGCAGTGTTTATTTTACAGGATGGGGTTGCTAGCTTAATGCCCAACCTTTCCTCTTCACCAACATTATTTCTGGCTTAGCGAGGTAAAGGAGTGCGTCGGCCGAGATCGAACCCCAGACCATGTGCATGGTCGGCGAGCGTCTTAACCGCTATGCCACTATGATTTTTATGCACAGAAACCTATCTTTTCCTACTTCGGTTATATTTTGCAAATTGTTGCATCCAGGTGGGTAGCATAATCTGTTACAGACGCGGTGATCACGAATATCGACCGTGAAACTTCGATACCTAAGCTACCTATATCTAAGTCTTCGGACACCCCAAAATCCTTCGACATCGTAACACCTATGTTTTCTGAAGACCACTCGGCAGGACACAGAAAGTGGATAGAAGGATTGATTAACAGTAGACGTGCTGTATGTCGTGTATGATGTCAAAGTTAAGAAGGAGATGTGGACATAACACAAGAGTCAATTAAGACATTGCGCATTCTGCGAAGGTGAGACAGTCACCAGCGGTTCGCCACTGGATACATTTCTGGACACCCTTGGGTTATGACATAAGAATGATGCCATGCATACTTCAGGTCTTCCACTAAACGACAGATCACTCACTCAGCGTCAGTCAGAAAGTTGCAGGAAAAAGACAGTGCGGTTTCATCTTAACCCTAAGTAATAAGTCCCTTCTAAAGGGGGAAGTGATATGTGGGCGGATGGGTCGTCTGGAGAATTGATCGGACCATTTCTCATGGTCCTCATTGACCATGTATATATATATCATTGTTTCCCTTCATAAAGTACTTCCGTCTCACCTCGTTGTGTGTTCCCACCTAAGAATCGTGCGGGGAAATCAGGTAGCCATTGTATACCACCATGTCACTACTAATTCGGCATCCCTATTCACTGAACATTTCTCAAGACACACAATAACTTCAGCATGCAATCCAAATTCTTTTGTTGTATTCATTCTAAGTCGTGTGAATCACTCACCGAATGTCTCAATTTATAATCCCTTCTAAATCTTATTGACCAATTTTAGATTAGACGTGGTATTATGAAGGAAGCAAGCAAAATAAACTATACTCATTTTCGATACTGCTGATTGCAGAGATAAGTAAGACAGTCTTTAACTGTCAAAGAAGAGACAAACCTAATTAGAATTTCCAAATATCCTGAATTGATGAATACCAAGGAAAATAAGACCTACAATTCGTGATTACTTTCTAAGCATCTTCAACCGGATAATTCTATTTTTAGTTAACTGCAATCAGAGTGGTGATTGCATGAAGAAAGAGGTGAATCAGATTTCTACTTAGAGTGAGAACTAGACTGAATTAAATTCATTGTCTTTTAATACATTATCCACACAACATTCAAATTTTCTAAAATTAGCACTGAACTAGTGTTATTAATACGTTTGAAAGTAAAACACGGAAATATTTTTGTCATATGTTATATGTTACATGTCGAAATAACGACATAACTTCCTTCTTTTTGTGTAGGACACCCTAGATTTTGTTAAATTCATTATTGTCTGTGATTCAGGCAGATATTTTTAGATCTACCTTAGTAAACTTTTAAGTCGAGTTGAATTTCCGTTTATGTTAATTAGCATTTGTCTCCTACCTTGAGTTTACTAATATAGCAGATTTATTTCGAATTACAATCATAAATTCAACTTAGGAGAAAGATTTAGCTTTTTATGTAAAGCTGTAGAGTATGTATACTATGTGCGGAGAAAAGCAATTCCTTAGTCGCTTCGGTTGACTTTGAAGAAGTACGTTAGATGGAATATCTTAATATACGTACTCAATCGGTGTTTACCTAGTCGATAGTCTCTGTGATCATGTGCGTGAAGAAACATGAATAACTCGGCTAATTTTCAGCGTGAACCACTACCAGTATCACTAGTTATTATGATTTCCTTTAATTTCTAGAGGAACATGGGGCTTCAGCCATGCGTTTCCATTGCGTTCGGTTCTCTGCTAGAGTTTTCACCTGGCTCCAAGTCTGCCCACATCCTTTCATCTCCTCTTCACATGACCTCCTCCAAGTCACCTTTGCACTGACGACCAACTCGCCGCTTCCCTTTCTGGTTCCACTCGACCGATGGCTTGTCTAGTGATGTCACTTGGTGATTTCCTCAGAGTACGGCCAATCCATCTTCATTTCTTGACGCTTATTTGTTGCACAATCGGTTCCTGCTGTGTTGGTTCGCTCCAAGAGATCCTCCACTATTGCTGATCTTTTCTGGCCGGCCATCTGATATTGAGTATTGAGCGAAGACAACTGTTAATGAAGGTCTGTAGTTTGTTTGAGATGCTCTTTATGACGCGCAGTGCAAGTCTCTGATCCGTATAGTAGCACTGACTTCACATTTGAGTTGAAAATCCGGATCTTATTTTTGATGCTGAGTGCCGTTGACTTCCACACAGACTTGAGAGTAGTGAAAGCTTGTCTTACTTTTCCGACCCTCACTTTGATATCCTCACCAGTTTCGCCGCCTGTAGTTGAAATGATGCTTCCCAGGTAGGTGAAAGAGGTTGCTTCTTTCGGATTCCTCCCATTTATACTGGCTGATTGTCGTCTGTTGTTGTAGCTGCTGCTGCTCCTCGTGACCAAGAATCTTCATCACCTCTGTTTTCTCTATGTTCACCTGAATTCCTGTCTTCCCTGGATGCTTCTTCTGCCAACTTGTTACTTTTCACTTGCATATCTTCCAGTTTGTGGGAAATCAGACATATATCATCGGCGAAATGCATATCCTCCAAGTTTTTTGCGTGGGTTCATTTTATGCCTCTTTCTTCGTTGCCCGCCTCTGTCTGTCGCATTATCCAATCTACCGCAATCAGGAAAATCATTGGCGATAGTAGGCAGCTTTGTCTTACTCCCGTCTTAACTTCGAAGGATTCCATAATTTTCCCGTTGTGGATTACTTGGCATGCAACATTGTCGTACAAATGTTGGATGAGATGTCGGCGGCACCCTGTAGTAGAGAAGTGGTTGCCGAATCACCTCTCGATCGACCCTGTCGAAGGTTTTTTCACAGTCGATGGAATTGAGATAGAGAGGTGACTGCCATTTAAGCTTTGTTCAGTGATGATCCCTAGTGTGGCGATTTCATCAATACATGACTTGTTTCTCCTGAATCCATCACTGGTTATGTTAACACTAACTACACACTGAAACCAAAATACAATTCATTAAGAGATGTTTGAAATTGAAGAACTTACCTCTGAGTTGTGAATTACTGTCTGTCTTAAATTACGGACCATATCTTTTAATTCATCCAGATTTCGTTGTTGTTGTAATCGTCCCCGGTCGTCTGAAATAAATAATTTCACAGAACGAATGAAAATCTCTTTAAAGAATGTATAAAACAGACAGTTTTACTACACACTGCTAGTGGAGGAATGGCTACACATCTTGCTAGCATTGATCGCCAGTTCAACTCCACAGCATCCGTGTTTTACTTGATCTAGGCTTTAGTATTCTTCAGAATTCAATATTTCTTCTTATTTGGGTGATATCCTACTTTATTTGAAAAATGTCGTCCGCAGCATATTTTACAAAAGATTCATACATCTTATTGTTAAGTTTCCCTACTGTTGACTCTTCCATGAGCAAATACATGAAAGCTGAAGAGTCTGTTTCAGGTAGAGTTTGAACTTCAGTTTGACTAAACATTCATAGATCGATAACTTAATGTTTCTTACTCAGAAATAGACTAATTACACAACACGGCTTAGGTGAATTTCTTATTTTTGATAGAAATAAACAGATTAGAAAATGAAGTGCGATTTATACTATATTTCGACATCTTTCTTTTATTTATAAAATTTCTTTCGTTACGTAGTAATTTTACGCTAGTATGTTGTCAGGATCTGTACTCCTTTGCTCACTTATCAGGTATCTATTTTATGTAAAATTCATGAAAAGATCTGCTTATGGATACTTGGACATCAAGTAAACATAAATCGTCACAGTGCATTGTAATACTACCCTAGATTTGCTCTCATTTCTCATGCTAACTAAAGTTGAAAAACACTCCCCAAAACAATACTACAATGATACAGTTTTGCATAATAGGTTGATATCTAGTAGGGGGTGAATATCTACTCTGTGTATGTGTAGTTTAGTGGAGAAGTCTTTTAGTATTTATTAATTTTATCGTTGGGTTTAAGTCCCACTAACACATAGGAGTGTAGTTTCAAGTGCCGGAACAAAGGATTCCGCTCTTTAGCTTATTTAAAATGTTTAGCTGATTTTCATTCTCTTAGTAAACAGGTGAGAGTGGATGGCTGTCTAAAATAAAATGGAATTTATTTGAATAAAACAGGACTACACAGATTCTGTATAGTTTGATCACCCATCATAGAATTCCTATTTGTGAGAAATCAGTACTAGCAGAACCAAGTATGACTATGGAATTTATTATTCATTCCTTTCCGCTCCTATTGAAACACAGGACTTCAAGCTGCCACTTTGAAGTTTCAGTGGCAGTGGTGTAATTTTTAAGAGGGGAGGCCGATTACCTTACGTCCCAACTTTCCTCCTTACCGGGCTTAATACCAGTTTAGCAACTTGTAGAAGTGAGTCGGTAGGCATTTGAACTCTAAAGTACTTGAGTGTTTCGTGAGCATCCACTGACTCACACGGTGGTGAGAAGTTATTTATGTGGTGCCTCACTGGAATCTGTAATGTTACTTAAGTACAGATATAAGTGAAGTAGTACATTTTTTCTACAAAACCTGATAATCTTGTAGTTTGGTATTTATTGTTGGTATTTATTAAATCTCATATTTATGAAAACAGAAATCACTGCTGACAAACGTAACTTCCGTAAGAACTGACCATTAATAATTCTCAACGTACATATGTGTGTATATATATACATAACAAGGGTAAATTTCAGCTTGAGTTAATCACCACTTCCATGTTTCCTACTACAAACCAGAATCTGCAGGTGCTTTTTTTGTTCTTATTTATGTTACCTTATCAGGATCACGTATATATGCTATTAGAAAGGGCATAAAGGACTTTTCAACTTCCACATCATTTCACCTACTACTTTATTGATTCACTAATGTACCACTAATGGAAACAGTAGATTATATCTGTCACGAAATCGCCGAAAGGCAATTAGACTTAGGAATCCCCTTGTGTAGCCTCAAAGAATTACTTCTTAAATGCACAATGAATGTTCACTTTGTCTTCAATAATTCATACTATCGACAAGTAGATGGAATAGCTATGGGTTCACCATTAGGCCCAATATTAGCTGACTTCTTTCTCGCAAAACTTGAAAACGGGAAATTAAAGGACATCATCAAAGAGTTTGATATGTATTACCGATATGTCGATGATACATTTATCTTAGCTGACGAGAATTTTAACATAGATGAATTGTTGCTGAAATTCAACAACATCCACCCTTCGCTTACCTTTACTTGTGAAGAGGAGCAGGAGAATGAACTACATTTCCTGGATGTCTTGCTAAGTAGGAGAGAAGATGGGTCATTTCGGAGAAGCGTGTATAGAAAAAGCACTTTCACAGGGCAATACACACACTTCCTTAGTTACCTGCCCATTAAATATAGAAGGAATGTTGCGAGCAGAAAAAAAAGATATGTACGGATGACCTCTTACAGAAGGAATTTGAATATATTCACGATTCCTTGGTGGAGATGGGCCATCCGAGTAGTTTCGTAAAGAAAAAAAACCGGCGACTCTGACTGCACGTAAGAAACCTCTATTTATTAAGTTACAATTTAATGGTGACTTATCAAGTGAGATTCTATTCCAAAGACTTTCAAGGAGTATACGAAGAACATTTTATGCAGCACACCTATGTTTGTCATTCTCTAATCAACGAATGATTGGGACGCAAACGAAGGGTAAGCTTGATAGTTTTGCCACATCTATGTGTATTTATCAGTTCGACTGCACCTACGGTGACAGTTATATTGGGCGTACTACTAGACAGCTTAGCTAACGTGTTGGTGAACATCTCCCATCGTGGTTTGCAAACGACAGACTAAAACAGTTCGTAGCTCAATTTTGTCACACTTAATTGATAGTGGTCATGTAATCGAGAAAACGAGAGCCTTCAAAGTGATTCATCGTATCCCACCAAATCTTTCCAATAGACTTCGTATTCGTCTACTACACACAGCTGAGGCGATAGGCATTCGAACTATTAAACCTAAACTATGTATTCGAAAAAAGTTCGTACAGCCATTATCCCTCCCTTGGCCTATTAAGACATAACCAACTAATCACTTCTACACCACCCTTTGTTTATATTTTCAACCCCTTTCTTATCATCCCTTAATCTTATCTTCATTATAAACGTGTTTCATTTCCTTCCCTTACAATCTAACATTACTTAATCGGTTCATTTGTTTTTACTAGCCTTTATCGACTACTTCCACCTGAACAGTTGTTTGTTTAATCATGCTGTTTTTCATTATTCGTGTTATCACAGATTGCCTCACTTTTTCATCCTTATTATTGATAAGACCATCTTTATTATTACTATTACTATTATTATTATCATTACTACTATTATGACTAATTGCACAATTTATATTCACCATCGTATTATCCTATAGACAAAACACCATGAGTGGTTTATATTTGAATTTTGATTTGTAAACTTTTATATATATTAGAGTTAAGCCTGATGAGATCTAATTGAAAACAATATTGTTCGCTTAAATGTGTTGTTCTAAATTTTACTATGAGAATATTTAATATATAAAAAAGAAAAGCAGCCGGTGCTAGTTATTATGAATGAAAGAATATTTTAGTCAGCATGCTGTAAAGTTGATGACTCTTACCATTTCCAAATCTTGAGTTCGTCAGTAAACTAATATCTTCTGTGTATATGAACCATTTGATTTCAAGCTCCTGACCAGAACCAGATCTTTTTCTCCTGAATCGGGATTCACTCTGTGCTGGGTCATCAAGAGGTAATTTTTTTCTTGTGACGTAAACATAATAGAAATAGAAATGGAGAAAAATAATTAAGCATTATATCTGCTAAGTGGAATGAACAGTGTAAAACTAAATGCATTGCTTTTAAGCATAAACATACCATAGATAGAGACCAAGTAACTAAATGACTCTATTTTGCACTATATATCATATTAACGGGATAGAATATTCAAAGGAACTTTCACCAATAAATTGCAGTCCGCTGATATAAGTGACAGTGTAGCATAACTCAGTTATTATATGGTGGGAGGCAGTCAGCAGGGAGCATTGGACCTATGTTTTGTGCTCGCTGGCACTCGTTAGCAAGGCGTACCTGCAAACTTGCAGGAACCTACGTCCCTTCTGAAAACCGAACCCATTTCACCCAGTGCTGCAGTCAGAGACGTTAACACTGAGCTATTCAAGCTTTAGACAGACCTCCTATTACAGTGTATTGTATAGTATGATTGCATACTAGGTGATAACTAGTGCCATGCATCCAGTCCTGTGTTTGGTGTAGACTGGATTCTACAAGTCAGTTTCGCGATGGGGCTACTATGCTAGGTGGCTCGTCATAACGGTGAACTCTGAGTTGTTGTTATTAGATGATTAGCGGTGATCGGTGGATTGTTGATACGCTTTGCTGATAAGTACCAACAGGCATGAAACCTAGGTCGAAGGGTTCCTGTCGATTACCGCCAACCATCCGAAAACAACAATACAGAGTCCACCATGGTGACAGGCCACTTAGCATGTTGGGCATACAGCAAGTGTGACTGATAGAATTCAATCTACACCAAACAAAGAACTGGATGCATGAGACTAGCCGTCACCTATTGTCGGATTTAAGAAGCATAGTAGGTTAAAATTTGATTAAAATTTGACATTGAAGTATATTCGGATTTAAAAAATTGATATTCCCAAAGAGATGAATTTGTAGCTCTGGTTTAATGTTCCAACACACAAAAACAGTACCACAGTAAATTTAGGATGACGAAGTTTTCAATCTGTGAACACATTCTGCAGTCACGTCATTCAGCCCCACGTGATTTTTCCTTCAAAGTTATTTAAAGGCCCAAATCCAACCACTTCAAAACCATCCTCTTTTTACACATATGCATAGCCGAAGCTCTAGCTGTACAGGGATAGAAAACCAAGTTATGTGTTGAAAAACGCTTTGTTAAACCCCTTGTTCTTTTATTTTATTCTACTTTACCACTTAAATTCATTCCACTTCACCTTAGCCGTCTTTATTGTTATCATAATCTTATTCTTAATTTTTCAGACAATACTTGACCTACAATTTTAAAATCTGGTGTAAACCAGTTCACTTATTTAATAATGTTTGAAAATTTTGAAATTCGTCCACTTCAACTCTACCCCCTTAGTACGTCATTTAATTATCTTTATTCTTAATGTTTATTGACTGAACAATTTTTAGTGACACTTGATGCCTTTCTCCGTAATATAAATATGACTGTACAGCTTGAAAATCAAGTCATGGAATGGGAATATTTCTTCGTTGAGCAAAAAACTGTTTTTCCTTATGAATTATAGGTATATCTCGTGATTATTTGGAAAGGCAATGGAAATTAAATAACATTAGACAGATACTCCCTCCGATTTCGTTAACTTTGATCACTGCCCAACCACAAACTTATTGCTGATCTTAACTAGAATCTCAACTTACGAGGTAAATACGTTTTTGTTAAACCATTGTGCTTACGTCTAATTGCCCATAAATTCCGACTTCTATGCATTAAAAATCTGAATGCAATGAAAGTTAGGAGCTAAAAAGGTCTTACAAAATTGTCTGAGGCTAATTAGTAACCTGTGGGTATATCGTGAAAACAGAAACAACGGTATATGTTACAGAGGAATAAACACCATTTGTTTTAGTGATAATTTAACATCTAGTACTCAGTCAGTTAATATAATGAGCCATTTAACTAAAGATGATTATCAAAATGTAACTTATAACTGGGGTGAACAGATTTCATTTTAGTGGATAATTTAGTGAGAATATCGTCACTATTTGCTTCGGATATTTTTAATGTTGTGAGATAGTCAGAACATTCAATTCAGTGCACTGGTTAAAATAGTGAGTTTCATGGAACTGACATTACTATTCAAAGCACTGGACGTTAAGAGCTATGACACATGTTTTCAATCTACAAGTTTGTTCTTTATACCATAGCAAACATAGTGAACGTCTGTTAAGATATAAGGAAGTAATATGGTTAAATAATAGTCTATATATTTTGTTGGGAGTTTATTCCTTCATCGTATTGTATGTATGCATTTGTGTAAGTCTTCCTTATGACACTGGCGTAAATCTGAAAGCAGCTCGCATAGAGGGAAGTGTATGACCCTGAATACAGAAAATATAATCTAATTAGAGGCTATTGAGATTGTAGACTATGTTTTCTTAACGAATATGGTCCGTATACATTATCATAAAATTAGGAAGGCTGTTTAAATGTAAGATCCTGCCTATCTATCTATAAATGTTGACTTTATAAATATACTTTAACTGTTAATCCGTTAACTTTGCATGTGCTAATACTATGCGGTGTTCCAACAAGTGTCTATAGCATATGGCTACTTTCGAATGATAATGAGTTGCATGTTATTTAACTGCATTTGTAACAGAATAAGTTTCCAAGAGTTGATTTGTAAGACTTAGGTTTGTTTCTCGAGTTTTCCCACGGACTGATATCATTTAGCTAACCACTGAAAACCAGGGAGTACTGGACAGCTGTTTCATCCTACTTTAGGAATCATCGGCAGCATGCTGCCCCTGGTTTTCAATGGCCCTCTAACTGATATCAATCTGTGGTCAAACTCGAAAAACAAACCTAATCCTTACAAATCAACTCTTGAAAATTAATCTGATGCTCATTAGTGATTTGCTACAGGACGGAGTTTCCTGGAGTTCTGGTAAGAAGCCGTGACCAGTAGGGTTCATCCAGTCAAGTGTGAGGATGGATGTCCGACTGATGACATTAGTTGGTGGTCGTGCTAAATCATGAACTGGTAGAAGTTATAATTCATGGACTGGCCATTGAATTGGGTCCCAGTGGCTGAATGGTATACAAGCTTGCCTTGTAACTGGAAAGTGCTGGGTTCAAACCCCCAGTGAATGAGTACTGCGAATGATTCTCAAACTAGGATGAATCAGCTGTCCAGTACTCCTTGGTTTTCTGTTGTTCTCTAACTGAAATCAATTCGTGGTCAGACTCGTAAAAACTCCGTCAGCAAGAATCACACACCGACACTTACTACTGGTAGTTCAAGATCAGAATGACCTTGATTTACTCAAACAAAATCACATCATAAAACAACACATTACCAGTTTATTGCACAACTATGCAGGGAAGTATTAAAATTAGAGATTAAACAAGGACAAAAACAAATAATAAGGATCAACTGGGCATATGATATGCCACTGTCAGAACAACGATTTACAGCTGAGTAGAAAGACTAATGATAAATACAAAGTTAGTGAAAAAAACAAATGAGTATAAATGATGTGATTAGATAGTTCATGAGGGATTTCGAAAACACTTATTCTGTTTCTCGAGTTTTCCCGCGGATTGATTTCAGTCAGAGAACAACAGAAAACCAAGGAGTACTGGACAGCTGATTCATCCTAGTTTGAGAATCATTCGCAGTACTCACTCACTGGGGTTTGAACTCAGCACTTTCCAGTTACAAGGCAAGCTCGTATACCATTCAGCCACTGGGACCCAATTCAATGGCCAATCTATGAATTCCAACTTCTACCAACTCGTGATTTAGCATGACCACTAACTAATTTCATCAGTGGGACGTCCATCCTCACACTTGACTGGATGGACCTCACTGGTCACGGCTTCTCACTAGAACTCCAGGAAACTCTGTCCTGTAGCAAGTCACTAGCAAGCATCAGAGATTTGTCCTTATCTTGATAAAAATATTCTGATTGGTTCTAAGGTACTTCATACGATTGTATTTCGGTTAACTAGTTTTGTCCTACTATCCTTATTTCGTATTTAGAAACTTGCATTGTCCTTATAGCTGCCTAACCGCACTGTTGTGGTAATTAAATTAGTTGTGGTCTCGTAGCTGATTGATTTAATTGCAAAGCTTTCGTTGTCCTTCTAGACATCATTTTCAGCGCAGGCCTTAGTATACAGTTGAGGTAACTTTGAGATTTTTTGATGTTGTTATTGTTAAATACAACTGCATAGGTCAAACCACGTCTTTTTGCTGTCTTTGGAGTGTTTTTGACTTTGTGTCTGTCAAGAAAGTTTCGGCCAGTTATTCAGTGGGATGCAAAAATTGGTTTCTCGCGTTCAGACCACAACGAGTCGATATGGATGGTTACAGTATCCATCATTCTACTTTTACTGTATCCATTTTTATTTTGCATTTCTAGTTGAATTCAACAAATTCACTTGCATATTTCACAGGTTGTCTTGGACCTAAGGAGATCTCACGGTATCTCTTATCAGGAGAAAAATACTTCACCCATTAATGTCATATGGCGTTGGCTTCGTTTCCTTTTATGTTTATGTCCTTATATGTTTATGATTGGAGATCACGATTTCTACTAAAGTCAAGGTTGAAACTAAGAGAGAAAAACTACTTACTTCTGTCACCTCTAAGATAGTGAATTGCGAATTATGCGTGGCATGGAAATGAATTATGCATTTCTTGGATTTTCATCAAAAAAGAACAACAACAACAAAACAACATGTATCTTACCTGATACTGTTAGGTAGTTTTGGTTTAGCACAGACTAACGCGTCCTTGAAAAGAAATAGATAGCGTAATTTGCGGTTATTTGATTTGTTTTCCAATTCTACAACTAAGCTGCACATAATTAAACGATCAGAATCCTAAAGCGAGAAAACAGAAATAAAAAATAACAGTACACATAAACACATGTTAATTAATCAAGACAAGGAGTATATATAAGGAAACATAAAGAACTCAGTAGATGTCTCGAAATTTAGTCAAGAAAATGTACTATATGGACGACATCATTTTATCATTGAGTTACTAAGGGGGAGAGAGTGACATAACGGATGGTGACACAATGGAAGTAAGTGTTTGAAATTTAATGAGGTGATAAGGGGTTTTTACAGTTGGGGGCCTATTGAACGAAAACGGAATTTGCCAGTCAGATCAGATGCTTCTGTAGTCCTGATGCCATAGAAGTAGAACTAGGTATTCTGAAAGAAATCCTCATCCAAAATGGATATTCAACAAGATTCATTGACAGGAACATCGAAACAGAAGGTTGGAGAAATAAAACATTACTTGTTCCAAAAAAGAAACTTTACGTGAGCCTAGATTTCAAGGAACACTTAGCCTAAGACATTCTTAAGAGAAACATTTCATCATCTTTGAAAAAATTCTTTGCAGCAACGCTAAGGGTGTGATGAAAGCTGTCTGCAAGCAAAAATTGTAGATAGCAATTTGCGTCAATGTTTACATCCCTATTTGGAGTTATGAGAAAAAACAGTATCAAAGCCTAACCTTAAGGAGCTCAACAACCAATCATAGCAGACTTCACGTGTGTAAATACGATTCGCAGATATATGGATAACTTAGTAAGAAACGGTCACAGGCAGTATAGAATAATCTTCAGCAAGAAAACAACCAATGATAAGACGTTGCTTCTCTGCTAACAACGCCTATAATAATGTACATAAAAATCTATAACTATCTCTTGATTTTCTCAATAAACGATCTGTTCCCTGGTCCTTGTCTTCTTTCGTTACTAGGGTAGTTATCTCCAGTGGTCCATTGTTCCTCAGATGTCTGAAAGACAAGATCTCGTATCTGACCACTTTTATGTGCATATATCAGTTCTACTATTTCTGTAAAGCTAGGCATATTGGTCATTCGAGGTGTATCCTGTGTAAAGCTATTCAAGTACACTATCCCACCTGGTCGCAGAAAGGTATTAATGACTCTCTAAAGAGTGCGATAATCCAACACCTTGTCAACGCTGGTCATTCCATCTAAAAAAACACTTGCTCCTTCAAAGTAATCTACAAAGTGAAGAATAACCCACCAAAAGCAATAGGCTTTCGTTTACTTTGCATAGCTTAGGCCTTAGCTATTCATTTAGAAAGACCAGAGTTATGCATACCACAAGAGAATTATTTAACCACCCCTAATATTGTGGTGAAAAACGTGTTGATTTCTACTGCCTTGATTTTTGTTTGTTATTTATTTATTTTTTTTATTTTTGGTTACAGCTTGATGCCACACCGTATTTTCAGTACAAGTATGGCATTTTCAGCAGGCCGACCATAGATATCGGGTGTGCGCCGGCAGGGGCTCGAACCTCGGACCATGTGCATAGTCGGCGAGAGTCCTAACCACTGTGCCACTGACGCACAGTGGTGGCACCCCAATCCTTATAACTATTACAAATTTCTATATTTTTCTTCGTTTCTAAGTGCATCCTGACTACGGCTCACTCGTTAAATTATTCGTCTTATTATGTAACACTGATACACTTGTAACAACAGAAGACGAGGGCCAGGCAACAGATCGTTTATTGAGGAAAATCAACACATATTTATAGATTTTAATGTACATTATTGTAGATAATTGTTAGTAGAAAATACAGTCTTTTGATTGGTTGTTTCTCACAGAGAGTTAACCTTGCATCTCTTTGTGGCTGTGTCAGATCATCCATATGCTAACTGTTGTGTCCGCCTAAGCAAAGCCTTTGTTCTCATTTTCTCACCACCAATATTGGGGACATAAACACTGACGTCAATTACTGTCTACCAACTTTGGCTAGCAGCCAGCTCTCACCACACACTTACTCAGCTCGTTTTATGCATTCACTTATATTAAATACGACTATGATTGTGGTAACGCATCACTTTTGTTAATACCTTTTTTCATGAAAAAAATAGTTGTGCATAAATGTGATTATACAGCTAAAGAAAGTAAAATTCCCAGAAAACAGCCTGTTCGTTGAACTACGTGTTTTGTTTCCAATAATGTCTGAATGGAGATTATTGATGAATTGAAGGTGAACATTTTTATCAAGTGAGAAGTATGGAAGTCGAGTATCCGCTTGATGACTGTGAAGAGGGTGAGTAGAAAAGCTACATGAAATGTACAAAAAGAACATGCTGAGAGTGGAAATAGTAAATTATTTACTGACAGTAGAAGTGAATAGTTAGGAAAGAGATTAAAACCAAAGTTGATTAAGAGACTGGACAAACCTTTTCTGCAGACATTTTGGGGTTATGTCAACTAAGTGCTAGCGCCTCTGCCATACACAAATATCGTAACCTAACACCCTCTGTACCATTTGATATAACATTGTAGATTATTTTAAAAGAGGAATTCCCTATTACTCAATAACAGACCTCAACAACAAAATTCGGATTTTCACTACAAACGTCAAGTAAGTCAGTTCTTCTATACGGATGGATCAGAAACTTGGCCAGTGTGTCACGAAGAATATTTCCAACAGGTTGCAGACCTTTATCAACAGCTGTCTTCGCTCTATACTGAAGATCAGATGGCCGGAAAGAATCACCAACAAGAAACTATGGGAACAAACAGAACAAGAACCAATCACTCAAGAAATATGCAGGAGAAAGTGGAGATGGATTGGACACTCGCTGAGCTGAGGAGGCCGTTGGGTGACATCGCGCGTCAGACCATAGCTCGAGTGGAGCCCGAAAGGGAAGCGGTGAGTGGGACGTCCAAGGGTGACATGGAGGAGATCATGTGAAGAAGAGTTGAAACAGCATGGACTAACATAGATGCAAGTGAAAAGTATAGCAGAAGACAGAAGCAAGTGGAGACGTGTAGTTGAATCCCTATGTTCCACTAGGAAGCCAAGGGAACAATAATAATAATACCATAACAGACCACTGTATTGTTTCGGAGAATACAAGTACGATTGCATTGTCGCAGATGAAGAAAATTTACTGATCAGATGCATTTCAACTTCAAAATCTTATTGTATAATGTAGAACTAAATGTCATATCGTCAGTTTCAGAGAAGTAGATGTACACTAACTTCCTGTTGACAGTAAATTCATGAATACGTTGTCTGCAGTTGACGATTGAAAGTATGAAATAGGTCTCAAAAACTGACTGAACAGGAGAAAAAGCATTATGAAGAAAATAAATGAATGAAAGTTGGAACTTATAGGGTTATTCTTTTATTAGAATAATTGAGGTGGCTTTAATTTAACAGACTTTTCTAACACAACTGGTTGTCAGTTTGTGTTGAAATGAGAAACAGGGTTGGCTACGATAGGATTTTGAGAATTAAATTATCGTGAAACTATTGAAAGACTTGTTTTAGAAAAGATATGAGTTTTCATATATTTACAGCTCCGACCACTTGTAGGTGCTAAATAATAGTCGCTGTTTGGTACATATGTTAATTTGTGTAAGTGGCATATGTGAACACTTGTAAAATGTTATCATCCGGCGTCTTATATTTGGATTGTCTAAAAGGTGTTTTGGGTATTCAGATGAAATTGGTTGCTCTCCCACGTTTTGGTTATTATTCTCTTCTAGGCTAAGTGAGAATAAATGCGAAGAATAACCATAATAATATTTATAAACGTATTGTCCGGTATTTACTAGTTATGCGAACCTAAGTCACCGGGTAACCAAGTATTGCGGGGACCATTAAGTCAGACAGGAGGATAGTTACTCGCACTTGACACTTGCTGGCGGTTGCAGTAAAAATTTATGTTGGAGGTATTTCTTTTGTATATGCCCAGATGGGCATAGCCGAGGCAATAGCTATCCATAAGCTCAAACCCACGCTTTGTATCTAAAATATTTATGTATATATACATATCACGAATCGACAGAATCTGGGACTCATGGACCGCTGGGTCGGGTCTGGGTAGCTGAATGGTCTATGGGCTTTCGTCGTAACCAGAAGGTCCTTGGTTCGTACCCTTTGCGGGTGTGTAGCTATAGAGAATCCCGAAAAAGGACGAAGTAGCTGTCCAGTACTCCCATGTTGGTTTTCAGTGGTTCTCCAACTGATACTAGCTCGTCATCAATCCTGTTGTCAATTACAATAAGAATTAAAGCTACAGAATTGTACCATTTAAGTATTAGGACAAAGAAATAAGTTATCCTAAATTACACTTGCTGTGAGTTCGTCTCAGTGCACTTATACATGTAGGAAGGAGGTGATCAACCACGACTTGAAGTTTCTCAGGCAGCTGATTTTGTATTAAGTGCCTAGAGGAATACTGTAATCATATCGGATGTTGAATTCCGGCTGTTTTAGAGGCACTGTATCAACATTTTTACAAAGCTTGAACATATTTTATAGCGTCTGCTATTCCATACTCGGAAATACCTCAGGAAAGCTTTTATGCTCCCTCAACTTATGATATTTGTCTGCTTATATACATAATTTTTTACGTCCATTGTTCATATTCTCAAAATACTGCCTCAAAGGAAGTCAATATATTCACTGAATGTTCATAATGCCAGGTTTTAAAGTCATGTCCATTGTATAACTCACAGCAGATTGCTACAAAATGAAAGTGACAGTAGATTCATTAGCTGGTAATATGATAAATTTTCTGTCACTCGAAGATATATTACTGAATTCATTGACCTCATAAGTAGTTTAAAACAAGCAACAACCACTGAAAAAGCAAAATTAAATGAATTCATCAAATTTTGATAGAATTTCTCAGCTGAATACTCCACAAATATATATATATATATATTAGTGATTGCTTTACTATCCCAGTGGTTACGTTATAGACTAAAGTACAGAGGTACAGAGGCTTACATCTCTGAGGATGTTCAGTCACCCTCATACAATACAAATGTCAAGTCAGTTCTTCTATACGGATCAGAAAATTGG